TTTTTTTTTTTTTTTTTTTTTTTTTTTTGGAGTTGAAAAGACTAGAGGTGTTATAATAAAGAATTCTTAAAAGCCGTCTTATTCAATACCGAGTTATTATTAGACTGTTGAATTGAACCTCACTCTATTTGCAGGCGTTTTGATGGAAACCAAAAGCCTTTCAGAAGCCCAATTCTCCATTTCTTCGCTTTGTTTATGGATTCATTAAACCGAAGACCGTATGAACTCTTTGACTGGTTGGTCTTCGTGTGAGGCTCCACCGGCCATCTGACAAATCCTCACTTACTCGTTACAATGAAAGTTCCGCACTTTCCAATGTCTCCACAACCACATGTTCATTTCCTCATGTCACATTTTTATGAAGACTCTTTGACTTCGCCGACCATCCATTTATATACCCCCAAAAAAACACCCACGTGATCAAAGTTCACCGTTGATTGGATTGAATCCTTCCCTCTATATAAATAAACACCCTTCTCCTTCTTTCTTCACAACCCATCTCTACATCTTCTCTTTCATCCTTTCCAATTCCCATTGAGAGAAAAACAAAACACTCTGCAAACTTCAATGGCCTGCTCAAGCGCTTCAAGACCCAGTTAGTGTTTCTTCCCCATTAATTTTCTCATTGGTATATGGTTGAGTTGATTTGATCCCCTTGTATTGATAATTGTTTTTGGTAAATGTTGTTGTTTCTGCAGCCAAAGTTCAGGAACTCCATGTGTATGAGATCAATGAGAGAGACCGTGCAAGCCCTGCATATCTCAGTTTAAGCCAGAAACCTGTTAATTCTCTTGGAGACCTCGTCCCCTTCACTAACAAAGTAATTTAATTCATTATTTCTGATTATATATTAATATATATATAGCAATATTTTCTTGTGGGTTAGTGCTAAATTTACAAATGTAATTGCAGATATATACTGGGGATCTTCAGAAACGCTTGGGAGTGACAGCAGGCATCTGCATTTTGATCGAGAACAAGCCGGAGAAGAAAGGTGATCGATATGAGGCTATTTACAGCTTCTATTTTGGAGACTACGGTCACATTTCAGTTCAAGGACCTTATTTGACCTACGAGGACACGTATCTGGCTGTGACTGGTGGCTCTGGGATCTTTGAAGGAGTGTACGGGCAGGTGAAGCTGCACCAGATTGTGTTCCCTTTCAAGATCCTCTACACTTTTTACCTCAAGGGGATTGAGGATTTGCCTGAGGAGCTTACTGCTGTGAAGCTTGTGGAACCAAGCCCTGCTGTTCAGCCCAGCCCTGCTGCCAAGGCTTGTGAGCCTCAAGCCACTGTCTCCAACTTCACCAACTAATACTAATAACCACAAGCTTCTTGCTGCCTCTAGTTTTTTGTGGGTTGAATTGAAGTTATGTTGTCAGATGGTGTAGTATTTTTATTTTATTCATAAATAATTAATTATCTGTGTTTAGTTTATTTGAAGGCAATGTAATGATCAGTGGTTTATACAATAACTATGGTTTGTTTACTCTATACACAACTAAATCATTTTAATTTGAAGATATAAACACAACTGTGTTTTGTTTTTCTTTTTTGCTGTGGTTTAAAACTCATCTTTGTTTTTTGGGTTATATGAAGTGCCAAGGCTCAAAAGAATATGACCAAACAAAAGCCCAGGATGGGAAATATGAACCAGTCCATTAGAACTAACAAAGAAGCAGGTTGATCTTTGTTTGGAGGAATCGAAACTAGAACCTGTACTTGAAGTGTTACTAGTTTACATAATGAATCCTACACGGATAATATTTGTAAATCAATGATGTGGCGTGATATAAAATACGAGTAACTCAATTTAACACAATAAGCACAGTTAAACTAATGGAAATATTTTTGCTCATCATTTTAACTCAATGTGTATTTTCATTATACTTTACTTGACACATGTTCATAGACATAATCATAATTAACTTTTTATTTTGTATTTATATAACCATAGTTATTCATACAGACACATGTACCTTTCGTTAAAGCGGTGAGTAAAAATTCTCTCTTAAAACTAATAGATACTTGAAGGGACAGAGTTTTGTTGTACCAATTTTGGTATAAATTTAAGACTTTTTTTTCTTCTCATGCTTTCTCCTATTATTGTGTTCAAAGAATTGTTTTCGAAGTTAAAAAGGGAAAAAATCCCTAAACCTGTGTAATGCAGATATCATGACAATAAACAATTTGTAGTAATCCAGGATTAGCAAATTGACAGCCAATCCAAAAGCTTTTAGACTTCTTTGCAACAGTTTAATAATTATACCTTTGGATCTGTCGTCAAGTCTCAAAGCCTCCCCAAAAACCAAACCTGACTCAAAAGAAGAAGAAAAATACAAGACAATGCTCCTCTTGTTCCTCCTACACCATTGCAATCTCTTCTAACAAAGACTACAAATAACTCAACACAACACAAGACAAGAAAAAATCTCAGACAGTTGTGCTGTTATTGGGTCATCTTCAGTCTTCTTCTAATGGTTGTTGTCCAAGCTTCAAAGCTCAGGCTCCCCAACCCTTCCCTCTCTTCACCTAACATAACCTCCCTCCTCTTTGAGCCCCATTCTCTCTCTCTAGCCCTCATGCACTCTGACTCCACTCTCTCTCTCTACCCTTCTATCTCCCCTCTTTCCCTTTCATCTCTCCCTCCTCCTCAAACCCTAATTGCTCCTCCCTCTTCTTCCTCCACCTTCCTCCTCCTCCAAAACCCTAACCCTAACCCCAATACTCGCGTTCTATTCATTGTCTCGGGTCCTTATAGAGGTGGGTCTCAGGTCCTGCTCAGGTTTTATATTTTGCACAAGCAGAAGCAATTTGTGAGAGCTCAAGTTGTTTGCACTCAGAAAGAGCTTCAATTTGATCAGAAATTGGGGGTTTTGGTTGATGCTCACCATGGAGTTTCGATTAAGCTTGCCGGGTCGGTCAATTTCTTCGCCATGTACTCTGTTTCGAGCTCAAAGATTTGGGTTTTCGCTGTGAAATCGATTGATAATGACGATAATGATGATGAAGATGGGGTGGTTGTGAAGTTGATGAGGTGTGCTGTGATTGAGTGTTGCAAGCTTGTTTGGTCGATTAGCATTTCTTTTGGGTTCTTGATCTTAGGAGAAGATAATGGAGTTAGGGTTTTCAATTTGAGGCAGCTTGTTAAAGGGCGGGTTCGAAAGGCCAAACTTTTGAATTCGAGTTCGAAAACCGTGGGTCGAAATTTGTGTTTGCCTAATGGGGTGGTTGGTGACCATGTCCATAGTGATTTGGGGGATAAGGGAAATAAATATGGAGGCGGAAAATTCCATGGCACTTCGGAGATACCTTGCAATGGGGACTTGTGTGGGAAGAACGATAGGAATTATGTTTCTGGTAAGTACGCAAATTTTCCGTTTTGCTTTTACTTTTGCTGATGTTACCTGTATGCAGAAAATGCAAAGCAAACGTTCTTTGTATGTTTACGAAATATATCCATTGCTCCTTGTTGAGTTAGTACTTAATTCAGTTGGATAGTGGAACTTTATGATCAAACCTGTTGCAAAGTGAAAGCTTTATGTCATACATTGGTCTTCTAAGGATGGCAGAACTTAAGCAAGATCCTATTGGTGTTATGATAACAACTATGGCCATACAACCAATGAGGATAGTTTAACCCCCTGTTAACTGTGTTTTACTCCAGGCCTCTTTAAGGATACACTTATTTATAGTTTGTTTGTGTACCTTAGGTTGTGTCTCGATAATTGGATCTATCCTCGTTATGTTTGTGGGACATTTATGCAACAATTTCAGTGTGTTTATTTTACCTAAATTTTAAAATATCTCCACAGTTATTGGGTTGTTGACGTATGCTGAACTATAGAAGGAATTTTTTGGTTATAAAATTGGGATTTACTTAATATGTCGATAGGACTTGCTATATATACATATACAGTCATATTGATTTTCTTATGAAGTGCCTATTCGGTATACTTGTTGAAATAGGGAAAAAAAGTAAATATTTACTCATAAATGAATACGCTTGCATATGAGATATATTGTTTGCATATGATGGAAAAGAATAAACTTTCATGGCTGGAAGGTTGCTGAATTCCATATTGCTGTGCCAGGAATATACAAGCAGCAGCTAGTTTTAACAGTTTGGGGGTTCAAGGGTCATGTTTGATGGTGGGAAGTATTTAATAGTAGGGGTTCTTATTGGAAAACTAAATGAAGAAATAAATGAGGTTGGCTGTTCTTCAGTCCACGATTTTCAGTCATGGCTTAAATTTAGGGTTCATGATGTTGAAAGATTCGTATGCATAGGCATCCACTTATTGCATCATAATGACTATCTGGATATATTTTGTAAAACTAAATAGCTAGTAAGATGAGATATAGATCCTCTAGTAAATTAATGCACAATCTCTAAAGATAGAAGTTGGAGAATATCCTTTAAGTGGACGGCTTCTGTGTTTTATGCAAGTGTGTAAGTAACAAGGTACTATTGAATGCTGCCATCATTTGATCAAGTGAGTGAATAATGTGATCCTTAATTTATTAATAGTTCAAGCTATCTCAAAGATTGTGATTTGGATTTAAAGTGGCCTACCATGATTGGCCTAGCTAAGTAGTCCTATATTACCTTGTTGAAATCTTGTTATTTGGACTAAAATTTTGAGCTTGATATTAGTTCACAGATATACAAGTTAAAATGAAAATTTATTGGGTTTTTGGGTGTTCTAGCTACTATTAAAGTGTCATGATCACTTTATGTCTTTAACCCATATAATATGCTTGTGGACCAGCATATCCATTCTTGTACCTTATTGATCCTTATGGAAAAATTATTGTCTTAATGGTTGTACACAACCCCTCTCTCTCTCTCTCTCTCTCTCTCTCTCTCAATAACTGGTCACATGACTAGCACATGATGGATTAAATGTGAGAGGAGGGGTTGTATTGTATACACAATTTTTTCCATCATATGTTGTAACTTGTAACTTTAGTTTATTGACTTTAGTTGGGCCTGTTTCTTGCACGCGCACTACTTGTAACATATTTATATGTTTATCTGTTATCTGCACTGACAAATTGCTTTTAGGTATTTCTTTTTGACCAGGACATGGGTGCTACTCATTTAAGCAAGGTGCTGTCCTTGGGTTAAAATCATAAGCATGCCTCTAGATGGTAAATCACTGATTAGAAAAATAACTTCAGTTAGGGACTGTGTTGTATTTCTTGTCATCCAATTGCAATCTCTAGCTCATGACTGATTGCCAGCCTTGACCCCCTAAAAAATTATCAACCTTAGGGCAGATATACCTCTGCAGTATGGCCACCAGATAATTATGCATTTCTATTTTAGATGGAAGTGGCTTCCATTGCCTCTTGGTACTATATTCATATGAACTTGTATTGTCCTTGGCTGTTTGACTAGTGCCACTAACGGTGTGTTGAACCTCGCAGCCAAGCAGCGGTCAGTTAAATTGAAACAAGACTCTCCTGAAGAGGGAGTGTGTTTTGTGACATTCAAGGGCAAGGAGTTTGAAACCTCAAAATCGACAAGAATGATACCAGCTAAGGCAATTTCCATTGAGGCACTGTCCCCCAACAAATTTTTAATCTTGGACTCAAATGGAGCTTTACGCATTTTGCACATCTCCAGCCCTGTACTTGGATCAAATATAACTTCTTACTTGCGGGAGTTGCCTCACATTATGAAAGTGCAAAAGCTGGCTGTTCTTCCTGATATAGCTTCAAGTATGCTTCTCCTACCCCTTTCTTTTTAATTATTTTGCAGATGCTTACATGTTGGAAGCTGAAGGTGGATTTGCAATTGAGTAATTCCCTGTATTAATAGAACAATAGAACTTCATGATCTTAATGTGGGGGATACTGCTGGGGTGTGTAGCTTGGTCTCTGTTTTTATGAGTGAAACATTTAATGTTATGGTAGTTCATCTAAATTTTAGACATATGCCTCTTGACCATAGCTTCAACCATGAGGTCACTTTTCACTATCTCACTACCCACTGAAACTTAAAAATTTTGCCATCATTTTGCAGGAACTCAATCTGTTTGGGCTTCAGATGGATACAATTCTGTGCACATGATGTTAGCATCTGACATGGATAATGCGGTTAACGAAAATGATAGAAATGATAGTGAGGAAAAGTTGATTCATATCTCAGGTATCCATTTTCCCATAATTTTCTAGTTAAATTTAATGCGTTTTAATTTCAGATAATGTCACATCTTTCTTCCTAACATGTCAAAGAAACTTACATGTTTTTTCAATAATTTTATGAGGTTGCAATTTATCCTCATCAGTGGAGTTCTATGTTGGTGCAAACTTGTTCATCAAGCATTTGAACCCAATGATCAAATTTAGTTGGGGTCATATGCCCCTTCCTGGATTTAGTTTCCAGTTCAGTTCCAGTATTTTGCACTGACTTTCTGTTTTCTGTGCTAGTTGTTCTCACAATTTTTGCTAGCGAAAAGATTCAAGATCTTATTCCGTTGGCTGCA